CAGGAGATCAGATAAACTATACCCGAGCTCATGCAATCACCGTCTCTACCACTGGGGCAAATTATTCAATTTTGAGTTGCACATAGACGGTCATATAGGCGGTTACGAACTAGCTGGCGCTTAAGATTACTTAAGATTAGATTAGATTCTGATCTCCTGTAAGACGTGTGGTGACGAATACATTGGCGAAACGGGTAGACCCCTCTGTGTCCGCATGAAAGAACACCTAGCCGGCAAAAATAGACCAAATACCCCGCTAGGCACGCATGGGAGCCAGAAACATAACGGGGACGACTTCGAAGTATGTGTCACGATCCTCGCACGCGAATCGAGAACACAGGCGCGAAAAACTCTCGAGGCACTCTGGATTAATTCCAGAAATCCGAAAATGAACCGCAGGGAAGAATGCCTCATTATCACGCGTGATATAGGGCAGTATATAAAACTGCTTTTCTGATGTGAGGAGCACATTATACTTCCACGTGATTTCTGTGCGGTTGGTCTCTACGTGACATACTTAGTGGAAACCTCAAAAAAAAAAAAAAAAATGCAAAGCTGTGTTCAAAGTGATTGAAATCTTGGTTTGGAGTTTTTTTGTTTGGTTATGGAGGCGTCTGGCCGAGTGGACTGCTATCAACTTGACCTTTCCAGGCTCTGAAGAAGGCGAAATCCGCCGAAACGTCAGCTTAATCGTGAACAAAGAATAGTAACACCTCGCGTTTGCTCAACAAAAATACGAAGAAAATCACTTGATCAATGCCGAGGTTAATAGAAAGTCGGTCGTGGAAATATGAGCAGTTTCGTTCGCTTTCCCACCTCTGATTTACTCATCTTCAAGGGATTTTTGTCATCAGCTGATCATATTTTTGTTTACTCAACAGAAATGCTTGTCTTCCAAGCATTTTTATAGTGCTCTCGTTACATTAGCTTCAAAAACACCGAGGTAGAATTTGCTACTGCAAAGCATCATTAAAGAGCACGAATGACGCAGTGGTCGAAGGTGCCCTGCAATACACATGGGATCGATTCCCGCGCTCTTCACCCACCAGGCCCTCCATCCCTCCGAGGTCGACAAGTTGGTGCCAGATTTGTCTGGGACGATAGCACCACTGGTTCATTACATCGGTAGCCCACCGCGAGTCATTGTAAAGGCCAGATATTAATTCAATCACTTCTAAATGATGCTTAATAAAGTCAAATGCATGGCGCATCTCTCAGGGATTGATCAATGCTGAGGGCTTTATCGTTTATCCTTTTAAAGCATCACTATGAGCCACACTAAATACCTTGCTAATCTAGATAACACTATGAAAGATTCTGAGAGTTTGCTACTGTAAAATATCAACATGAACCTCATTGTCAGAAAATAAGCTACGTGGCGTTCAACAGCAAATACTATACAGAATAGATAAAGTCACTGAGGCAATGAGCCACACTCATCCAGTTAGCAAATTTCCTCTCCTTCATTTGCAGAGAAAGAACATCCTGAGCAGGTCGTAAATGAATGAGAGAGCTAGATCAGTCACGAAAATGATAACGGCGCGCATTCTGGCTCCCCAGAATTGAGAATCCACCAGCTCTGCCGTAACTCGATTCATACATTCGCAACTCTACGTTCCTCTATTTCATAAAGAGGAATCAACGGAAAGTGTTAAAGACGAAACAGATAATCTGCTACGCAGAGCAACTCCTAAAGTTCTCCATTTCTGTGGTGGAAAAGCAACTGAAAAATATCGGACTCCGACTTCTGTGTGACATTGTTCGATATCAAACCATAAATTGAACTCGCAGGCAACTGGGTGTGTTGGACCCGAATATTCTAACCTGTGCACCACATAGTTCCACATAGTTCAGGCATACCGTCCCTAGAGAATTACTCGTTCTAGAGACTGAGGCGTCACGTGCACGGAGAGAACTTCAAAGGTGGCAAGAATCCGAAAAGCCTCAACTCCAACTTTCTTGCTCTATCATTACTCCAACGGCCTTTTTTTTTTTTAACATTCTTGAACATGTTTATTCCAAAGGTGATACTACGTTACCAGAATCTAGAATGATGACGAACCGCACCTATAACACACAAAGGCTAAGATAACTAGATTTTACTGGACGTCTGATCATAAAACTCAAGTTCGCGGATGGCATCATTAGGATGGTAAAAATGAAAAGATATCCCCACTAAATGCTGTTTGTACTACAGTTGCAAAAGAAATAGTTCTCAAGATCTGCGGAACAATGGAGAAATGTTTTTGTCAACGTCGACATGAAGTATCTCGTGATATGAATCTCCCCAACTTGGGAATCCAAAGTCTCACATCGGACATTTACATTCGGACAAATACCTTAAACGGCAGTCTACGATGAAGATGGGCCATTGTATATGAAGTGATAGAAGTACTATAGAGAAGATCATACGTCAAAACCACCTTCATTCGTCATTATCATCAAAACTTCAAATCGCTGGTGATTTGAAATCCAAAATTTCAGAAATGCATCTCAGTACAACACGTCTAAAAAGTCTTGAAAGAGAATTATAAAAAAAAGAACTATGATGAACTCGGAACATACCATAGTCATTCACCTTGAATCCCGCGTCGAACACAAACTCATCATTGTTTGCTGGCATTGGTCTGGCCAGTACATGCCACTCGCCGTAGAAAAGGTGCTTAGGCAACTCAAATGTCAAGGCAATATATCCATCTGCTGTGCTGTTTTGTTTTCTGACGAGTTCGAAACCACTCGGATTCTAAATTAACGAATTCTCTATTTCATATGTTTTGGCAAAAACTTTTTTGCAAGAAACTGTATCACTTGATAGTGTCAATGTGCTTCCAAAACACTTATGTCCAAAAAGTAATGTATTTGAATAGTGAAGACTACAGTCAATTTTCTATCATTTTCTTCACAGTGAGAAGCTGGAGCTCACCTAAAACCACCAGAATTATTTCCACTTTTTTCCATGGACCAAAATAGAAAGTTCTAACAATCTTGTTTGGAACCTGTCCAACCAGAATGTTCTTTGTAATGCATGCAAACATACAACTCTTTCGCGAGAACTGGGGTTTCTTCAAAAATGGTGCACACGTTCCATATATGCTCGTTGTAGCTGAATTCAAAGAAGCGCCTTCCACAAGCGTTCAGTGGTTTGTCTTTCCGCAAGCCAAGCAAGATCTCTATCGTTTGCGTTGAGCTTTTCTTTATTATTAGACAATCGTAAATTTTTCTCCATAAGTTTTCGATTTCTAAAACTTATCATCAAGAAAAAACACGGAAAATGAAGTGCCACATTCCTATGCATATTTTATAACCAGAGCGCGTGTGGACAGTGGTCAGAGGCGCCCTGCGAAAACACATGGGACCTATTATCACTGCGCCTTTGGCTCGCCAAACCTTCCATCACTCCGGGGTCGGCAACCAGACTTCTCTGGGAGGGTAGCAGTTTTGGCTCGATACATCGATAGGCTACTACGACTCATCGCAAAGGCCAAATATGCATTCAATCACCTTCAACGATGCTTGATGAAGTCGAATATATGGCGCATCCCTCGGAGATTGACCAACGCCGAGAGCTCTATCCTTCATCTTTTAATTTAAACTCAGTTTACAAGTACTCCCAAGAAAACTATGAGGAAAGCCAAGTCGACATAGATATAGTTTCTACTAGCTTCGGTAAGATATGCTGAGACAAATCCAATAATTTTTCTTTGGAAAACAAGGTGCAGAAAGAGAAGCGACACTGTGATTATCCTCTCCTTTCACTTTTTTTTCTCATATTTTCTCCACTGACAACAAAAAATCAAGCCTATCTCTAAAAAATTTGACAGCAGCAAATGCGAGCATGGATTCATAAGCTCAATTATGGAGTTAACATCGAATCACAGAATCACTGGGTAGACTTATTACCATTACTCACCACAAGGGCAAATTCAATGAGGCCATCATATACAGCACCTTCATGTGTTAACGGAAGTGCCCGAACGAAAACTAAAAGCGGTATGATCAGTTAAAAAGGGAATAAGACGAAAAAGTCGTGAAAGTGGCAAAAAAAAAACAAAAAAAGTTGCAGAAGTCAGTACAAGATGGGAAAATAGTGAAAGAACAATGAAGCAATCCCTACCTTAATGTTCAGAATACCCTCGCGTAGTCATTACTCGCATAAAGAATTCGTACTTTTGAAGAAAATTCACAAGTGCTCACAAATTATAAGAGTTCGCTTAGAAAAACAATCATCTGCCCCGTCTACCTTATTTGTCGCTGGGCGGCTATATAAGAGCACGGCTGTGAACTGAATTAGCTTCAACTGAGTGTCGAAATTTCCCAGAATGCTCTGCCCATCCGATTAGGAAAAAAGACAACATCTTTCCTTTGGTTTCCTTATGAAGAGGATTGACGTTGGGAAGTGGGTTCTTCTTGCTGCGGGCCTGATATCTCGCCGAGCACATTTCTGTTTCCGGATTCTCAACCGATTATTGCAACTCGGTGTGATGAATTGCTCTTACCTTTTGCTTGAAATTAGAAAATTTGTATCACCGCTTTCTCTAAAAACACTTTTATAAACGTACTTTCGCTCTATTCACACAAGCCTTAGTTTTCCAAAGTGCACGCTAAGCCACTGTGAACCAGGGAGGCGAAGACATAAGCATACAGCCCAGGGATTGTTGTCCTTATCACTACGACTCCGATGTTCTTCTAAGCCTTATAAAGCACTCATCTCCTCCTGCTCACATCCTCTGTGTAGTATCTTTTCTAATGACTCCTTCTGACTTCCTAATACAAATATGTAAAATTGAATCATCCCATGCTTTTGGTTTTGATGATAGCGAATGGGGTACTAGTAACAAGTTCGCCTCTAATAAAATTAAACTTTGTGAAATCCATATAACCTGGACATAAGCACTCTCCTTAAGTCGATGGAGGCAATGGATTTTCTGCGCTTGTGATACATGAGATTCATAGTGTCGGATCAAATGACGATAGGTGCCGATAAGTTCCAGATCACCACACATGAACAACTTGTACGTCGCCCACAAAAGGCATCGGAGTAGAAGGCGTACGTAATCTTCTATGTTTCTTCTGGAAATATGGTAGCTATCCTGCCTGAACACTAGAAATCTACGAAAGACGCTTTGTGCTTCTTGTGAATGATACCGACTGGTGCAGGATGGATGGTTTGGAGAAAAACAAACATTTATCAGTGAACAATGAATGTCAACAACCGTTCTGCACAAAAAAGCATTGTGGAGTAAGCTCACATCATTAGTGCGGTGCACCACTGGATTCAGTTCAATGTGATCACCAAAGACTCACTTCGGAAGGATGGACAACTATGGACAATCGAATCGAATTAATGCGGCTCTGATGAAAGCGAAGGCGCCAAAATATTTATCAACCTAGTGTTAGCTTTCAATTTAAAAAATGCATGCTGATTGGTTATGTTGAGGTTAAGGGAAAGCAGGTTTTTCAAGTGCTGGAAAAGTTTTTATTGCAATTGCCAGAGTCTCGATGGACCATGCAGGTCGTCATTTCAAATCCTCCATTTTCATCGAGCTCTGCTTCTTCTCTCCATCTAAAATATTCTTTTATCTTTTCTCTGCGCAGGTATGGAAGTTCGGATGTGACTTAGTGATTGGCAGCAACTAGTACGAATCCACGCAGGCATATCAGTTTGATAGTTTCCAAAGAAACATCTCGCTTGATTGCTTTCATGATAGGAATTTTCTGACTTTTTCGTTAACGTCGTGGAAGAACCGATCATCCTGTGCACCTACTCTCCCAATAACGAATCTTCTTAAAATCCAGTTAGAGAAGTTGTGCAGTGACCAGTTGATAACAAAAAGCTCAGTTCTTTGGTCAGTACTCAAGAATTAAAATTTCATTCGACGTTTTCCTCCTCTACTTTGCAACAGATTAATTATTCGGAAAAGAAATAAAATTTAACCGAAAACCACTGAAAACTGTCAAGAAATGCAAAAAAGACAACGCATTCATTGTAGAGCAACCCTTCAAACATAGATTTAGGTAGATGAAACTGTTTTAGACAATCATAAAATTTTTCCACATACCCTTTTCACCAGCGGAATATATTGGCTTGTCGGTATGAATATGCAGTACGGCTAAATTTGGTTTCGCTTGGATCTCACTTTCAAATGTTTCAAGGTCCTGAATTCTAATCGCGATCTTTGCCTTCTCTATCAGCTTAGGGAGATGAAAGGAGACAACGTGAGGAGTGCCTGTAAATAAAACATTTTCGTGCGCAGATTATGGCAGAAGAGTAAAAAGTCGAAGTTTTTTTTTCGTTTTTGTCCGATAGAGAAGTAGTATTAGGTTTTCCCAAGGATTATAATGCACACTGAGGGATGCGAGAAGTGGCTGTAGCCCCCGTACAACAGTTCACGAATGGCTTCCAGCTCTATCCCTGAAAAGCGTTACTAAGTTTCCAATCCCTCATGGGCAGGAAGTTGTTCCCAGACTTGCCTGAGAAGGACTCTATACGATGCGAGAAATCTGGCGACCGTCGGCGAAAAAGAGACCTGCGAACGCTTTAGCAGGGCTATTGCAGAGTTCCAGGAAAAACCAATGGGGCCTAGATTCAACGACATTCATGAGAAGGGCAAAATTTTTAAGGAATTATCAAGCTGCGAATCCAAATATCTTGACTGATGATGGGTGCTAGCCAATGAAGCAAATGGAAGCAGTGGTGGAATCAATACAATATGTGAAGCAAGAGCAAACGATAATTAACAAAGGAAAAAGAAAAAAAGATACGATGCTAGCCGAGCAAAATTTCACATCAGCCTCTTGTACGCTGAACACTCTGAAAAGATTTCGAAAAACTGGGAAAAGCGTACAGCGTACAGTTTGATTAATCCCTGAGGGATCGTCTATGCTCTCGCCTCCATCGAGCATCGTTAGAGGTGATTGAATGCATATCTGTCCTTTACAGATACACTTGTGGTGGCCTAGCGTTGTGTCGACTCAGTGCTGCTACCCTCCCAGACAAGTCCTGTACCAATTTGCAAACCTTATGGGTGGGAGGAGAGGATAGCGTGCTTGGTGCGTCTGCGGTGCGTGGTCAAACTAGTGATCGATCCATTATGTGTCGCAGATCATCTCTAATCATTAGTGTACATATATCTTGAGTCAAATAAATAGTAAAACTCAGAAGAATATTCATACCAAATTCTTAGTGTGAACTACGAACAAGTGCAAACTTGTGTAACTTCTCATAGCACAAATAATTGAAGATTTACATAGCGATTTTATTAAGAAGAACACGATCCCTTTCGTTCGTATGGTGTATCGTATGAAAGAGGGCATTGTATTCCCAAAAACCCCTTTGATTACGTTAATCATTTAAAGCAATTATAATTTAATTGTGCTAACCAATTGAAAAATAGGTAATTAATGTAACTCTTTCATTTACTGCCTTTTTCTTTTTAATGGCAGGGTATGTTGCGAAATATAACTCGTATGTAATGCTGAGATATTTGCAAAACTCCGGACAGCAGGTGCATGCGGTGGGGAACGAACACGCGCTGTTGTCCTTATCGGGGAGCAGCGCACTTCACCACCACACCATCTAGGTCCTTCGCTTTGCCTGTCTCTCAGCTAGGGATTGGACTTCCCAGATCAATCCCGTTGACGGGTGATTGCTGATGGCAAAAAGATCGATAGAACTAGCTGAGAGACAGGCAAAACGAAGAACCCGGATGGTGTGGCGATGAAGTGCGCTGCTCCCCGGTAAGGACAGCAGCGCGTGTTCGTTTCCCACCGCATACACCTGCGGTCCGGAGTTTTGCAAATATCTCAGCATTACATATAGGTAATTATATCAAGCAGGGGCTCGTGTGGCGCAGTGGTCGGAGGCGCCCTGCAACACACACTTGTAATCGATCTCCGCGCCCATGGCTCCCCAAGCCCTCCTTCCTCATGGGCTCGATAAATTAGTACAAACCTGTCTGGGAGGATAGAGCACTGACTGGATACATCGGTAGGCCACCGCGGATCATTTTAAAGGCTATATATGCATTCAATCACCTCCAAACCATGCTTAATGAAGTCGAATGCATGACACATCCCTCAGAGATTGATCAACGCCGAGAGCTTTATCTTACAGAAACAAGTAAAACTAACAAAATGGTCAGAAAATATAATTAAAATAAAATTAGTAAAAAAAAAAGAACGGTTTGGAAATAGTTCATAACGAGCTGCTTCTCTTTTCGAGTCATTTGTATCACTGTGATAGTTAGCCTGCCACAAGTAAATTTTTTGTGCTAAAGTGGGGAAAAAATGCACTAACATTCATAGATTTTCCATCATTCGTGAAAATCTTCGGCTTCATGCTAAAATAACACCAAAGAGTAAAAAAATCTCATAGACAGAATGAAAGGTTCACCTGACCTGATCTTTTTGCCTTGAGATTCTCGTCAAACACAGTGAGATTTGCGCCATTTTGAAAGCCAATGACAACTACATGAATATCAACAGTTTCATATTCTGTCTAAAAAATGGTATAGTTATAGATAAATTACTACTCTATATATTACATCTAGGGTACTACGTTAGTAGAAACATTACTGATATGATCGTACGTACATTGGTCGGTGTTATGACAATGGTGTTCACAGCACTATGCCGTAACAGTGGTGGTAAAACTACAAAAGGTATCCTGAAAGAAAAAAGAAGAAAAGAAACAGCTGTAAACGAACTAAAGCAACCAATTAACGAGTTATGAAAAGATGTAAACATCTAGCAACTTACACTGAACAACTGGTGCGATCCACAACGATTGATATATAGAATAGAAGCCATAGAAAATGAAAAAGTCGCTTCATGTCATCAGATGAAACATTTCCTAAGACTGAAAAATGGACTGATTACTAATAGAGTGGTCGCCTTATCGTCGTCTAATAAATTTGAACAACTATTTATCACAGAAAAACAGCACGTACTGTTAGTGAACACCTGGAATTGTCTTCTTCTATATTATTTTACTTACAACAATTTGTCTTAACATTTGTACAGTTAAACAAAGATCGTTTCCGGAACCTGGTTACTACATACTAGTCTTGTAGCATTTCATTTAAAGAAGACGACTATATAAATAAAACTTCAATGATACTGAGATATTTGCAAAACTCCGGACCACAGGTGTCTGCGGTGCGGAACGAACGCGCAATCACCCATTCCGGGGACTAACGCCTTCACCACCACACCATGCGGATCCTTCTTTTCGTCTGTTTCTCAGATAGTTATATCGATTAATACCATGAGCAACCACCCATCAGCGGGGTTGATCTGAGGAGCCCAGTTAAACCGCACGGTGTGGTGGTGAACGCGTTAGCCCCTGGAAAGGGTAATAGCGCGTTCGTTCCCCACCGCAGACACCTGCGGTCCGGAATTTTGCAAATATCTCAGCATCATTAAAGTTATGCTCCGCAAAATATCCTACCATTAAAAAGTGTAGGCAGTAAATAATAAGTCGAAATTGTGATTATATGAATAGAAATTTTTGGATGATGACATGGCTCTCGAATCTCACCACATGTGAGACCTGCCGTAGGTTAGCGAATTTTTTCGGACTACAGCATACCAACGGGTTCAAAAATCTATTAAAAATAGGGATAGAAAACAAAATAAAAACCAAACTGAAGGTGAGTTCTGTGGCTAACTACAACAAAGACAAAGAACACGAAAATGAGTTTCTAATTCCCACGAAAGACCTATTTCTACTGCCTAGCAATACACACTTTCAGGCTCTGAAGAAGGCTATACTGGTGAAAAGTCAGCTTTAACGGAATAAAGAATAAAGTAACACCCCGTCTTTGCTAAACAAGAGTATCGAGAACTAATGAGTTTCTACTTGAGAAAAGTTCCAAAAACTCTTACAGTCGTAATAACATAGAAGAACCTTATTTCTAAGCAAGCCAAAGATAAGGGATAGTGCCTTAAATGTTGAACGAATTCCATTGAGATTGACCCTGATGCTAATTCGACGCCTATTTGTTGCCTCTATGAGGCTCCACCAATCTAGATTACCTGTAGAAATAGCCTAAAACATTCTCATAAGCCGTTTAAAGGCGACTTTTAAAAAAAGTGTAGGAGGTTATCCATCTTTTGCCCATTAAAATCAATGAACATCGCATAATCTGCCCTTCATGAATGCATTGTAACCAATGGGTATTTTGGTGAGCACACGACTTACCGTTTAATTCATCGTATTACCTTTTTTTACCGACGCTTCATCACACCTACTGTGAGGATACCAGCAGTTCTCGCTTTCGATCCGCTTGCCTGGCATTCCTTGTCCAAAAATGCCTTCGAACATATCAGGTGTTGTTTCTCCTGCCGCTTGAGGATTTCGCCTTCTTTATTAATAAATGTCGTAGAATGCTGGTCAAGTCGATTCTCCTTGCATCCTTGGGAATAACTAGGCTAAGGCGTTCTCCACGTGGATTGTGGAAAAACGTTCGGGATGGAGTCCAACTAGCTCCTTTGCTTCCACTTGCTTCCTGATTCTACAGTATCACTTACCACTACGCTACCATCTACGAAGATCGAACGCTTCGTAAGTGAAACAAATCAACTTCAATGATGCCGAGATATTTGCAAAACTCCGGACCGCAGGTGTCTGCGGTGGGGAGTGAACGAGTTATTTTCTGTACCGGGAAGTAGCGCACGTCACCACCACACCATGCGGGTCCTTCGTCTCTTTCTTTCTCTTCGATTGATGAGGCAAATATCGATAGAACTAGCTGAGAGACAGGTGAAACGAAGGACCCGCATGGTGTGGTGCTGAACGCATTACTCCCCTGAAAGGACAATAGCGCGTTCGTTCCCCACCTCAGTCATCTGCGACTCGGAGTTTTGCAAATATCTCAGCATCACTGAAGTTATATTTCGCAATATACCCCGCCATTAAAAAAGAGTAGGCAGGAAATAATAAGTTAAAATTGAAATAAATCAGTTGTACTTTTTGCTGCAGGTGTTTTACAGATCGCTGTATTACACTCGTACTGTTCACCATAGTGGAAGCAAGCCAATATCAAAGGCGAAGTACGACTGTACTTGAAGGAAATGAACGGAAAATGTACTAGTGTATGCGCTACTAGTGACGATTGGCTAAGCCGTTCAAGTGTTCATGTCGGTATGTAATTTGCAATGTTTACGTTCGACCTTTGAGTATAATTTCCCTAAACATATGGGATTCTTAAGTGGGAAATAAGAAGAAACGAATAATACTTCTAACTCGTATATAATGCTGAGATATTTGCAAAACTCCGGACCGCAGCTGTATGCGGTGGGGAACGAACGCGCGCTATTGTCCTTACCGGAGAGTAGCGCACTTCACCATCACACCATCGGGGTCCTACGTTTTGCCTGTCTCTCAGCTAGTTCTATTGATCTTTTGCCATCAGCAATCAATAGAACTCAACAAATCAATAAAAAGAAAAGGGCAGTAAATAAAAGGCTTAATACTCCTAACATCTCCACATAAAAAAGGCACTAAACGAGAAAAACATCAGCTCTTTCAACACAGTTTTGTGGATGGATTTATTTATGCCACTCAGAACATGCATAATTTTCCCATGACCGACTTTCTGTTAACCTCGGCATTAATTGATAATTCAATGTTTTTCATCAATAAGCAGACACGAGGTTGTTAATATAGAATTTATTAGAACACAATTGCTGACGTTTCGGCGGTTTCGCCTTCTTCAGAGCCTGGAAAGGTCAAATTGAGATGTGATCTACTCAGCCAAACACTTTCACAACCCTAGCAGATAAAACTTGACAATTCGATTTTCATTCGCATAAGAAACAGCTTCATTCAAACACCTACCGTTTATTTGTTGTAAGTATTTAAGTTAGTTGGTGGATAGCCGCCGCACAGAGTAATACATGGTCGATAACTGGGTCCATGTCATGTCATTGGATCAGCCTGAGGTATGGCGCCAGGTCACGCGTGATGACAAGACACTCCTCCTTGCGGTTCATTTTTGAATTTTTGGCATTGATCCAAAACGCTTCAAGAGTTTTTCGCGCTGATGTTTTCGATTCCTGCGTAAGGATAGTGACTCCTACCTCAAAATCTTCTCCGTTGNGTTAACCTCGGCATTAATTGATAATTCAATGTTTTTCATCAATAAGCAGACACGAGGTTGTTAATATAGAATTTATTAGAACACAATTGCTGACGTTTCGGCGGTTTCGCCTTCTTCAGAGCCTGGAAAGGTCAAATTGAGATGTGATCTACTCAGCCAAACACTTTCACAACCCTAGCAGATAAAACTTGACAATTCGATTTTCATTCGCATAAGAAACAGCTTCATTCAAACACCTACCGTTTATTTGTTGTAAGTATTTAAGTTAGTTGGTGGATAGCCGCCGCACAGAGTAATACATGGTCGATAACTGGGTCCATGTCATGTCATTGGATCAGCCTGAGGTATGGCGCCAGGTCACGCGTGATGACAAGACACTCCTCCTTGCGGTTCATTTTTGAATTTTTGGCATTGATCCAAAACGCTTCAAGAGTTTTTCGCGCTGATGTTTTCGATTCCTGCGTAAGGATAGTGACTCCTACCTCAAAATCTTCTCCGTTGTGTTCTTGCATCCTATGCGCGCCTAGTGGAGTATTATGTTTGTATTATGTTACAAATAAACGGTAAGTGTTTGAATGAAGCTGTTTCTTATGCGAATGAAAATCGATTTATCAAGTTTTATCTGCTAGGGTTATGAAAGTGTTTGGCTGAGTAGATCACATCTCAATTTGACCTTTCCAGGCTCTGAAGAAGGCGAAACCGCCGAAACGTCAGCAATTGTGTTCTAATAAATTCTATATTAACAACCTCGTGTCTGCTTATTGATGAAAAACATTGAATGCATAATTTTATTTGGAAATCCTAGTTCTCCAAAAAAAAAGATTCCAGAAAATGTCTTGCGGACTTCCATTTCGAGGGCCAATCAAAGTGAGGAACATATAAATGTTTGCACACCAAATTTTTAGGTTATTACTGTCTGTGAGAAGAAGTACACGCATTAATATCAGTTTTCTGATCACCGACAACGGTTTACCGTCCTATCGTCATTGTATAGTGTTCGTGAATGTTGGGAAGCGATACATATTCTGGAGTTCTTTTCACCATCCGAATCCTTTAGGTGGAATAGGAACTCGACATTTCCATTTGGAAGCACGGCTAACAGTAAATAAATGAATCACTGTTGTCTTTCCGACAACAAAATTTCTACTATGTGTTAGGTGACGACAACCTTACAGTGCCTTAGGACGACTTTCGAGACTCCAGTTAAAGAAAACATTGTTGTCCAAAACAGATTATCCGTGATACTGAAATTTTCCGTGACTCGCACGATTAATCGTGATTCGCAAGGAAGGGGTCAAGTATTTAAGTGTGTAAGTGTTTCAATGATGTACCTAATTAGTCTTAGTTAAACATTAAGGAAGGAAGTGGACATGCACTACTACTCACCGTTAACAATACATATTGATTGGTTGGTAGTATACATTGAAATAAAGTTAGTTATTAAAAAGTGGAGATCGCGAAACTAAACTTAGGTACTGATATCCAACAATCCATGCTTGATTTTTTTTTGTTCCGAAACAAAAAGAACGAATTAAAAAACAAAATTCGAAAACCAGTTGAACTGAAAATCTTCAGGAAATGTCGGGTGATTGCAAGGGCAGCGCGAAATAACTGAACATGAATCATCGAGGAATGTCACAAAGTGTAACAGAGTATGTCGGAAGTGGTTGGCATGTTAATCCGACATTCGGCTACCATCTCACATTCTGTAGATGCCGAACTGAACGTCT